TAGGTTTTGCTTTCAGGGATAAATTTGTGGAGAAAGACTCAGACACATATTTAGGTAATGCAGTTACAGTTTGGGTCAGCCCCCTGCAGTAAGAGGACAGGGTAGTCTGAGCACTAATCCTTTGAGTCCATGGACACATTGGCATAGGCCTTTCTGTTATTATTTCATAAGGTGAGAGTTTATGGAATCCAAAAGATCTAGCTCTAAGGTTCATAGAACTAGGAGGAGAACCCTTAACCAAAGCAAAGAAAACTGTCTGTCAGTTTCTACAATTACATTTTAATTCTCCCATTGGTTCACTCCACTGATCCTGAGGACTGTGGGTGGTAGGCACAGTGGAGATGCCACAATAATGGGGAAGAGGCAAGCAGACCAGTAAAAGGCTGACCTGGGAAATGAGTACATCAATCACTATGTATTTCCTTGAGAATCTCCCAAAAGGGAATTTTTTTTTCTAATAAGATCTTAGCCACTGCAGTGGCAGTAGACTTCTGAAAAGGAAAATCTTCTACCCACTGAGAGAACACACAAACCATAACCAGAGCAACCTACTGCAAGCAGGGAGTTCAACAAAATCAATCTGCCAGTTCTCAACAGGTCCTTTAGGGAGAAGGAATTTCCCCAGAAGTGGATGAATGGGTTTGGAAGGATCATGGTGTTGGCAGGCCAAACACAGATCCTCCATTTGCTGGGCAGCCTTTCCAAATCTTCAATATTTTCAAGCCAGATCCTTCAGTTTTTTGGGACCTTAGTGATTAAATTGGTGCAAAAACCTCATCTTTGGAAAAGCAAGAACATCAGTGAGTACTATCAGTCCTTTAGGTCCCTTCCACAATCAAGTTTTAGGGTCCAAAGTCCCTCCTTCAGATTTGTCTATTGCTGGTTTAATTATGGTCAATTGGGCTTCCCCGATGTCTTCAAGTGTAAGCGGTTTGATTCCTCCTCAAATTCAGCTGTAACAAAAACTGTGGTGGGTTCTGTGGCATTCTGTGCAGCTTCATCAGCCAAAGACATTTCCTTTGACTTATTCAGTGTTCTCTTTAGTATGTCTTTGGAGCTTTACTATGGCTACTGCTATAGGCAGAAGTAGACAGTTAAATATCTGTTTATTTATTCTTTGTTCTTTATGGGTTGTCCCCTAAGTCAAAAATCCCTGGTGTTTCTAAAGCATTCCAAAGTCGTGAGCTACTCCCAAATGCATATCTGCTATCTTTATAGATGTTTACTTTCTTACCTTGGGCCAGCTCATTTGCACAAGCAACAGCTTCAGTTTCAGCCTGTTGAGCCGACTTGGAACGAGGTAAGTGTCCTCTCTCCACTACCTTGGTGGATGTCACTGTTCCATATCTTGCAACTAATTCACTTTTAGGTTTCCTCAGATGGGAACCATTGTGTACCACACAAAATCTACTTCTTCCAAGAGTGTTTCACTTAAATCTAATCTGAGAGAAAGAATACTGTAAAGAAAGGTCCTACAATCATATTCCTCATCATCATTCTTCTGTGCTTTATCAGGAAGAAAAGTTGCAGGATTGAGGGTCCATACCTGCTCAATAGTTGTATTTGGGTTACTCAAAAGTCCTGCTTCCAAATTATCCAATTGGCTAGTAGAAAAATTTTGAGAATAATGGCTTTGAATAATGCCTATACTGCATAAGGGACTAACACTGTTAAGTGGGAGTCTAGAATCACATCAGCTACAACACCAAGTTCTGCCCTTGCCACTACTGCTCTTAGCAACTAGGAAGTCCTCTTGTTACAGCATCAAGAGTCTTAGTATGATATCTGAGATGGCATAAATGTCCTCTGCGTTTTGAGTTCATACCCTGCATGCATTTCCTCCTTTTTCAGAAACGAACAAGAAAAAAAGGAAGTTTTTAATTTGGGAGACTGAGGAAAGGGAGGAAGATGAAAGAGGATGTATGAAGGCAGCCTTTAAAGTTTGGAAAGCTTCATAGGAGGAGTCAATCAATTTAAAAGGCTCCAGCTGGTCATTTTTAAGTAGATCATAGAGGAGGTGGGCAAATCCATGGATCCATAGGTGACAATATCTGTCAAGTCCCAAAAAGGCACTAAGTGGCAGCTTAGTGGTTGGATGAGGAAATGGAAGAATGCCTTTAAGATGGTCAGAGTCTAAATGAAGTCCTTCAGAAGTAACAATATGGCCAAGGAATGTAACAGAAGTAGAAGAAATCTGGCCCTTCTCCCTGGAATCTTTATTGGCCACTGAGGTTAAAAAGTACAGTGAGTCTTTAACACACATGCCAAATGAAGGGGAACACAATAATAAATCATCAATATATTGGAGAAGATTGGATCTAGAAAAGGATCTCTGTCCATTGTTCCTCATTCTAGTTTCTGGAGCCAAGGAGAACAAATTGATAGTTGATATTTTTAAAATTCGTTGGTAGGGCATAATTTCTATCATTATTAAATTTCTTCTAATTAGTTTGAACCTAGTGTGCTAGAATGTTAAAATCTTTCTGGATGCTGCTTCTGTCATCTTATGCAATAGCTATTCTACCAAGCTTTGCAATATTTGTTAACATGATAAGCACACCAGTTTAAATAGTCAATATGACTATGTAAGATGAAAAAATAACTGTCAAAAGCTTTTATTTGGGGAAGGCTTTGATTTCTTGGGAATCGGAGGCCACTATTGCTTAATGAGAAAACTTTACCTAGTCCAGCTCATGTGAACTCTGATTCTTACTCAACTATTCTTGGGCCAAATCTACACTGCAGACATTTTTCTGGAAATGTGACAATTCTCAGAATTATTCAGTTATCCAAGATGGCCCAACTACTTACTGGAATATTTATGAGGAAAGTTTTAAAGCTGGGCCATTAATACCTGTTAGACAAAAGAAAGTACTTTCCTGCAGTTATTTAACTAAGAGAATGTGAGTCACTGCCTTGCATTCCTCACAGACTGAGCAGAAAAGAAATATAAAAAAGAAGAAAAAAGCCATACAATGACAACAGAGACCAATTGGGTTGTTTTCTCTTCAGAATTTTCATAGACCTAATTTAGTTGGGTCAGAGAGAATTATTTCTAAGGTGATGAAAATGATACTTTACTTTTGCCTAATCCTTTGTAAGACTTTCACATGTTATCTTATTTAATCATCAAACAACCAGATATGTAGCATGTATTATATGTTATGGGCAGTGTGGTACAATAGAAAAAATTCTGGATTTGGGGGCTGAGGACCAATGTTTAAATCTCGACTTTACTTTTTACCAACTTCATGACCTTGGGCAAGTCACTTAACCTCTATGGGCCTCAGTTTCCTCATGTATAAAAGGGAGGGTTAGAGTAGATAACTTCTAAGGTACTTCCTAACTCCAAATCTCCATTTTACAGATGCGGAAACAGGCTCAGAAGCAATAACTGATGATAAGAAATACTGACAGGAAACTCTGAGTTACTAAAAGTACCTCCCATTATTAGTATGAACTCATATTGTACAATTTTGCAATAATAATAATTTTCTCAATGAGTATTCATCTTTTTTTTTAAAGACAGCTGTAACTCTTCCCAGGAATCTTAGACCTAGGATACTGAAAATAAAGTAAAATTAAAAACACACACATACACATGAAACAAATATCTCCTCTGAAACACGACTATCTATATACACAGACACACAAGAACATACATACAATATATATGAATTTAAATGATCTAGATGAGAAAATTGGAGCTCAGAGAAATTTATACAAGTCTATTTCAATGTTATATAGTCACCCAGTATTGAAGTTATATTATTGCTTGAAATTTTAGGAGCTATTCATCATTGCCAGACTGCAAACAATAGGCAATTAATGCTGAAGTCATACAGGAAAGGTAAGAGTAGTTAGCTGAAAGTAAAGAAAGAGTTTCAATTAACTTTTTTCTCCAGTTGAATAAAAAGTGTTTATATAAAGCACTTAAATTCCCACAGCAAAATGATTTTTTTCTAAATAAGCAGAAATTAAATTGGAGTGGTTAAATTCAACTCTAAGGAGAAAACTGAACAGTTTAGGACAGAAGGCTCTTTGTGTGTAATAAATTCCTTATTCTCCTCTGTCTAATACAAATTACTTTCTCATTTTCAATTACTGCCTTCTAGTACTTTCTACATGAGGTATATCTAATAAGATAAGTCAAACCTAAAAATATATCATAAAGCCAAAAAAATGTATTTTGGGGAACTTTTTGGAAGAGCATGATGTCCTTTTGAAAGACAGCAAACAAAGCCTGGAATGTATACACACCTCTGCAGTCTAAAAGTTAAATATGGCATTTTTTCCCCCTCTGTTTGATCAGTTTTGAATGTGTTTTTAATTCTTATTCTGGAGATTCACATATCCTTTCTCTCTGCCCTCTTAGTCCAGTTTTGGAATCTAGAGAGGGAAAAATCCAGAATTTGTGGATTGAATAGTTGTTTCTTAAACGAAGTATGGAAGAATCAATTACAATTTGTTAAAGAAATGAAACAAACAAGAACTGTGGACTTTTTTTAAACAAAGTTTTGTATTTTAATAGTACACTTCTAAAGTACCAGGATGGCAGACCATTCATGCTCAGCTCCCTGCGGGAGTTGCACATCTCACAGAAAAAGGGATTACTATCTGGAAAGTCTTTCTCACCTGGAGACAGTATTCCAGAAAACTGGTCAGGAGCTCAATGGGAGGGACCGCTGTTCCTTTAGTAGATATGTTCTTGACATCAAAATATATGTTGAGACAACGATCCCTTCAGGCAAACTTATTTTTTGTCAGGGTAGCAGAGTGCCAGAAAAAAGGAGGATCTAAGGGAGTCTTTTGTACACCTCTGCTCCATGAAGGGCGGGTTAGTAATAGTGCCCTAAAGATAAACGGGGTGGTGAGAATTGGATTCCTCTGCCTCTGTGAAACAACTGCCCTGCTCAGTTTAATTAAAAAAAAAAAGCGCCAGGGAGAAGATGGCAAGCTGAGACACTTCTTTCCTACCACTACTTTCTCTGTGATAAGACTTGAGAAATCCCTAGGAGGGGCCCCTCAGTGTCTCCTGGGAGTTCTGATGGCTCCCGCCTTACGTCAGAGGGGTGAAGTTCCTGGGGCAGGAAGGATTGGGAAAGGTGAGAGAAACTGAGAAGAGAAGCAACTCTTCTGTTCCTCCTCCTCCTCCTCCTGCAGCTGCAGCCACTTCTCACTCCTACGCCACACTCCCAGTTGGGAAGCCGCAGTTGTGGTCCCGGCTGGAGATTCCACTCGGGGTGACCTCTCTTGCTGTCCCACTTTGCTTTATATTCTGTGTCTCCCCCGGAGGCAGCAGCTTTTCCCTCCTCTGCCCTCGGATCCTGATTCCAATGGCCACAGACTGGCCAGGACGATCCCGGGCTGTAGCCAACTGCCTGAAATTCCTGCTGATCCTCTTGGTGAGTATGGCCGCCGGTTAGTGCACTCCAGGGGAGAAAGGAGCCCATTGCCCCCAGGTAGCCAACTGGGCAGCCCTCCCAGGGAGGGTGGGGTTGGTAGCCCAAGGGCGGGGGATCAGCCTGGACTAGGGGTAGGGGTCAGCTGGACTGGGCGGGGGGAGTTGGGAATGGAGGGGATGGATCGCCCATGCGAACTAGAGGAGCCTGTTGGGGGAAAAGGCGACTGGGGGAAGAGAAGAAGAAGAGCAACAGGCTGGGAACAGAATTTCAGCCTGGGAAGCTGACGGGCGTTTCTCGTAGCCTTCATTCCTAAACTGTGGCCCCTGGATATAAGAGGTGTGTGCGTGCCTGCATGTGCCTAAGATTCTGAAGACTATTCCGCCACTTGGAAATCGCCTAGTTCTTCAGTCTCCCCCCGCCCCCCAACCCCCGCTAGGGTCCTAATCTGACCACTGGGGCGGTCCTGGCTCATTTTGTGGGTGGAACTGCTGAGTTCCTAGCCCTAGCCTTGGTGCCCAACAAAAAGGACACATCCACTCCCGAGATGAAAGAAAAAAGACAAAAGGATTGAGTTTCCTGAAACTTGAGAGCTCCTGGGAAATGCAGGGAGACCTGGAGCTGAGAGACTGAGGAAGAAAAGGGTTAAGGGCAGAAGAGGAAAAGTGAGAAGCTTCCTTTCTTCCCTGGGAGTAACTTAGCGTTATCCTTGGGTGGGGAGAAATGGGTGTGAAATCGGGTGGGGCAAAGCCTCCTAGCGTTCTGGTGAGATCTCGGCTTTTGCTTTAACCTTCGGGGATAATTTTCTTTCCGTCTCTCGGCTTTGCCCCTAATTCAGTGTGCCCAAGGAAAGGGGGGGAAAAAAGCCAGAGGAAAAAAGGAGAGCTTATTTTGGATGGGAAGCTCTCAGCCTAAGCAAAGAGGACACAGGAGCTGGTGGGCAGGAAAGGGAGGGAGAGAAAGGCAGCTGGGACGGCAGGAGTTTGGGCAAGTTCACGCATCCCTAATAAAACTAATAATTCACGTTCATATAGTACCTTAGGCTTCTTAAGACATTTTGCATACGTTATATCATTGTCCCAAGGTTTGAAAATTAGTCTGGTGCGGAATGCTGTCCGTCTGAGTAAGCCTTTAATGTAACATGAATTAATGAGGTGTGTGGGGAAACATTTACATTGGAGGTCAGGATGTTATAAAATAAGCATATATAAAGAGATTAAAAGTAGTTCCTCCTTGAGACTTTATGCCTACCCCTAGTACTTGTCCTGAGAACAAACAAAGCTAAATGGGAAAGTCCTGGATGTGCGCAAAGGCCAAGTTAATAGCTTCGAGGCCGCGGGTTTTCTAGTTGCGCCTAAAAGAAACTGGGGGAGAGGCACCCATAGGGAGCAAGGAAAGAGGCCTAACCTTCCTGCTTTCTTGAGATGAGCTTGGGTTTACCTTCCAGGGCAGTAGAGGCCAATGAAATGAATACCTCGTCCCCGCCAAATTTGTCTGTCTTTTGATACACACATATGGCATACAAATGCCTTGTCTCTCCAACTAAGGCTTCAGGGCAAGGATCAAGCTTGAGACTTATTAGTATTCTTCATGGTGCCTAGCACAGTGCTTTGCACGAAGTGGATAATTAAATATTTGGTAACTGATTGGCTCCTCCATAAAGCCCTTCTTGAACGCCTTCTCTGGGTGTGGAGGTGGCCCTGTTTTCCTGAAGTCTATCCTACTGGTGTGCAAGCTCCAGCAGGTCTTACCAAACTAGAAAGGCTTTGAAATGTCTGTTGTAGACTGGACTGACTAGGTTGAGAGGCTCATCAGCTGCTGGTCATTAGATGATTAATTATTTTGACTACTCTAATCACAAAATTGAAGCACGAGGGATAAAGCCACAAGGATAAAATCGTAGATAATTTGAAAATTTGAAGTTGATGGATCAGTTATTATCTATAGCTATGGAGAACAATGTTCATTTAAAAACATATAAACCTTGCCCAAGTATGAAGAAAACCTCTGCACATGGGTAAATATTTTTTTAATGCTTCCTTGCTTTTATAAATCTTTTGAAAGGTATTGAAACTTTTATTTTTTTTAAATGGTGCTTATGTTGTTATTTCTATTTTAAAGCTGGTGTGTAAAACAGGTAGGGAGTCTGGACTAGTTTGGAGGTAAGATTTTGGTTTTTGTAGGTCCCTGTAGGGAGGGTGGGGAAACAGATCAGGTGGGAATTAAGTCTTAGGAGGGCTGGTCTAGGAGACAACAGAATAATATACAGGTATTATATATTCTGGTTAGTAACTTCCCCATTTCACATTTCCTTTATTTTTTTAAAAGGTCTTAAGGATGTTCTTTACTAAATTACATTTTTTTCTTTAATCTTCTCTCACATATTTACATAATCTCTTCAACAAACACCTGCACTCCTATCCAGATTAATACATTTGCACCTTTACTAACTTTCCTCTTTCTATTAATTATATAGATCCAAATGACACAATATTCCCAATTAGAAAGTTCATTTTCTTTTTCAGTTTAATGAAGGTGGTAGTTCAGTAGCCTTAAAACACGCGCACACACACACACACACACACACACACGTATGTGGCCCTATTTTGTCTAAAAATCACTAGGACTCTGAAAAACTTAATTTTTTTTCTTGAAGAAATCTTCCGAAGGAAGCTTTTTAAAAATAGTAGCCTTAGGCTTTTAAGCTACAGTGGATTTTCTGCATTATTAGCAGATGGAATGGAAAAAATATTGTTTTTTAAATCAGATTTGAATCTCAGCTGTTCTACTTGCTATTTGGCTGGTCTTAGAGAAGTCCTTTAATATCTGTGGGCCTCAGTTTCTTCATGGGTTGTGGAGAAAGACCTCCAATGTTCCTTCCCGCTCTAAATCTGTTATCCCCTATCATCTTCAATTTGTACTATATTTCTTTTTGTAAGTTGAGGAAATTGCTAAGCAGCTTTTTCATTCTAAGATTCTTTTCCCCTAAAATTATGTTTAATATAATTTTACACCTTCCCTGTCCTCAATCTTTAAGATTTTTCCAAAAAGAAAAGAAAAAAATATTACTAGAATAGCCAACTGTTACAAAAATTGTACAAAAGCGAACAGTTGGCTTCCATTTTAAAGCAATTCCAACTTAAAACAGATATGATAAAATGTGGGAAATGGTTTGTGTTTGCTTACTTATGTCTCTTCTGCACACTTTTGAATATGAAAAGAGTTAGAGATGATCTGCCAGTTACTTCACTAAAAGGGCTGAAAAATCTGTTAATATATTTGTTTATATATCATAAAATTTGCAGCAACTCTCCAAGTGTGTACTGAGGGCTGCTTTTTTCCTTTATATGAACTATATTTACTACCTGCTGTTTGTGAAAGTGTGAGGCATAATGAATGGAATAAGCCTCAGAGCCAGGAAAACTTGTGTTCACGTGCTGGTTATGTGACCCTTAGCAAGTCACTTTACTTCTCAGTGGCCCAAGCCAATCTTTTGACTCTGTAATTTGACTTTTTATTTTGACTCTTTAAATTGAAGAATTTTCTCATCAGAAATTCACTACCCCCCAAAAAAAATGTGCAAGCAAGACAGCTGGTTGAGTGTTTTGGGGGATATTGCATTCATTCCCTTCATTTGTCACAGTAAACAAGTAAGACCGACAAAATCATTTAACCAGTAACTCTCTATAACCATGCTAATATTGCCGATCTGAATTAACGAAGGAAGTTACTAAACAAAATAAATTGTGGCATGGTATTATAATCAAACCATTTTCATATTTTCTCCCTTACTGTTTTAAAATGATATAACTCTCTTATAAAGGGTAACATTGTATATAATTGGTGATATTATATAACTTCTGCTGCTTCAAAAGATTTCATGATTTTATGGATTACTTGCTCCAGCCAAAGAAATTTGCAACTCTTCCAAGCCTCTGTTTTGTGAATTGCTACTGCCAAAATAAGTTTGGTGGCCAAATTTCTGGTAATGAATCACAGAGTGTCAAAGATAGGTGAGATTTTATAGATGACCTGATCTATCTCATTTTTCAGATGAGTAGACTGAGGCCCTCAGAGATTGTGCTTTGCTAAAGATTACAAAGCTGTTAAGTATCAGAACAAAGATTTGATGTTAATTTTTCCATCTCCTAGTTCATTGCTTTTGTTTTTTATTTATTTTTAAAATAGCTGTCCAAAAGTAGAATGAGTTGCCTCAGGAACAAGTTCTCAGATTAGGGAAGAAGTGGAGGATAGGGGATCACTTATTGGGGATAGTATAGAGGGGATTCTTGTTCGGATGTGGGTTGGATTAAATATCTTCCAAGTCTCATTCCAACTCTGAGATTTTAGGATTTAAGGGAAGAACATGTAAATTATATGTTTTTTTTAAGCACAGTGGCTTGCAAAGATTAGATGCTTAATAAAGATGTGTCAAATTGATTTTAAATGAAAAGAAGTAGAATAATCTTTAACTGGAATTTCATTAATTTAAACTCATAAATGACACATTTGTAAAGAGGTTAATGCAATAAAAGAAATGATATGATTCATTATTTTAAATACAGCTTTCAGGGTACGTCAAAGTTTTGATACAGATTTCATGTAATTTCTATCACCTATAACGCAAAGATAATGATTGTTCACAGTGACAACTCTGTGAACATGCAAAATTTTGAAGTGCCTTCTGACTCATTCTGATTCATAATTGTAAATCTTAGAGGTTACCTAGTCCAACCCTTTACCCAAATATTTATTCCCAGTTGCAATTTCTGATCTAGCAAGTGGTTATCCAGAATTTTCTTGAAGATGCCTATTGTGTCCGAGCCTAGTGCTTCCACACCCACCCTTTCCAAAAGGCACCCATTTCATTTTCAGAATACACAAGCTGTTAGGAGGTTTTTCACTTACAAGATCATGGAGATAGACCTAGATGGAGTCTCAGAAGCCATCAAGTCCAACTCCTTCATTTTACAGAGGAGGAAAATGAGATCGGAGGTTAAGTG